ATCTTGCCAGGATCCTGATCATAGCTGTTAAGGATTTGACGCTGAAACATCAAAGATCTTCCCTATGGATATCTGGCTTTCAATCAGAACCTGACCTACAGTTAAATTCAGAAGCTTACGACGGAACATTCCCAGGTTCACATTCGGTTTTGAGTCGAGACTATGTGCATCTTGTATACCTTGATGAGTTATGACTATGCTAAAAGAAGAGTTCGCCCTCATGACCTGTTTCTGAGGAGTTCGAACGTTTTTAGTTTTATAGCTGGGTATTCCCATGAAGTCTCAATCACATTGTACAAAAATCATCTATGATTTCGATGAAACTTTTAGCGTTTGTAGAGCTTTTAATTCTGAGCATTTTAATAAAAAAAGTTTTTCGAAACGCTTTTGTTTTGAGGAAGATGCACTCAAAATACTGTAAGCAGTATCAACTCAAAAAAGTTCGGAAAAAAATTGTCTTCAGGATTTTTGAGTGCATCTTCCTCAAAACAATAGCGCTTCGAAAAACTTTTTTTTATTAAAATGCTCAGAATTAAAAGCTCTACAAACAATGAAAGTTTCATAGAAATCATAGATGATTTTTGTACAATGTGATTGAGACTTTATGGGAATAGCCAGCTATAATACTAAAAACGTCCGATCTCCTCAGAAACAGGTCATGAGGGCGAACTCTTCTTTTAGCATAGTCATAACTGATCAAGGTATACAAGATGCGCATAGTCTCGACTCAAAACCGAATGTGCACCTGAGAATGTTCCCTCGTTAGTAGCTTTAATGCTAACTATGATATCGATCTAAATCTCAGAAGTCAATTTTGTCACGTCGACACCTACTGTGTGGGGGTGAATGTGTGTGGGCTGCCGGTGTCACTGTTGCTGCATTAAGAGAACACCCACACCCTTCTCGCAAAATAATGGTGATTATTTAGGATAATAAAATTATCTAGTTTTGCAGAGCATCAGAAGACAATAGTTTTAAAAAAAACATTGAAAATGAGACAGATATCGTCAAAATGGCAAAGGCATCATTCATTATGGCCCACTGTTAGGAGTGACTATCTGTTTATTATTTTCCTACTCTTTTTTTTGAGAGATTCCGTGCTGATCTTATCAGTATGTGAGACGGCTCATTAATAACACTTCCGCATTGTAATCAGCAACAATTCATTGATACAACCAAGAGAATTGAAAAAAAAATAATGCATTGAAATGGTTTTTTGGAAATTTTTTCAAAAGCCTTTCATGACATTCATTATTTCAACAAAATCAGAATCATAACATGTGTAAGGATTAGTCATTCTAGGTGCCTATAGAATAAATATGAACTTTTTAAGAGTTCACCACACATCCTTTTTCGAAGGGGACCACCCTGGATTTTGAGAAAAGTCTAGGTGAAACATGTCCACCTAAACTGGCACCCTAGTCGAACATCTTCTAAGCAATATTTTGAAATCTTGGGATCGGTAAGCAAGATCTTAACAAGATCTTGAAAAGATAATTTGTATGTACACATCTTGGTTGTATCAGATAAATCCGTACCTAAGATCTTGGCAAGATCATGGAAAAGATATCGTTTACTATTATCTTCTCACAAGATCTTGAGTAAAACAAAAAGCGACATCATTAGTGCATTTACATGCTGACTAGTCATTCACCGTCTTTTTATGCATACAGCTGTATATAAACAACATGATTGAACATAAAAGACATAAATTTTCAAAATAATTCTTTTCTAAACTATTTCTCTACTATTGATTATGCGAGAACATGCTGATCTCGATCGATGATCGAGAGAGGACTACCCTGAGGTGGTCTGAAGGAGATTGGACCAACTCAAAGCCAGTCAGATCCCAACATCTGACTTGCCTGAGTTATTCGGGACAGGAATAATTAAAATGAAAATAAATTGAAAAAATGTTATAACATGCTTTTACAGAAAAAAATAACTAATGTGCTGTATGATAGGTTCGAACCACGCTTTCAGAAAGCGTCATCCATTGCGTCGCAAATCACGACACATGCAACACGTTTTATCTTAGTGTGTATCCAAGATTTTATGGATTTGTACGCAAGATCTTACACATCTGTACCCAAGATCTGTTCACTTACCTGTACCCGAGATCTTGGCCAAGATCTTGCTTACAAGATGTTCGACTAGTGTATGCATGCATGCATGACAATAGATCTTGATTTTCTTGATTTTTTAAAAATCATTTTGATTCATTCTAGATTAGGCGAATAATTCTGATTCTCTTTTTTGGAATTTGAATGTTCTTTCATAGGAGTGGCAGAACTTTAAGAATACAAGCAGAATTATTCATCAAAGTCTGAGCGAATTAGAACGATTACAAAAAATCAGGAAGATCAGGACCGTGACGATGTGTATCTATGAAAAATGAAAACGAACAACACAATTATGCTGATGAACGTTGCTATCTGCACATGGGTACATATATTTGACCTCGATACTCATTAGTTTCGTCGCTTTCTAAAGCAATATATACCTGCTTTTGTTGAAGTTATCACTGGTGCATCTTCTAATTTTTTCAATTTCAATTTCGGTGTGGTTGCAGTAGAGTGACTTGTTTTGAAACTTGTTGCTGTTGCATCGTTGCTCACTTTCAAGCTTTTGAATTGATCTACAGGTAAATTAGTCGAACCTGCAGCGACCGGTAATGGGATGAGTAATGGTTCACCGGATTGAATTTCTTGCAATTGTATATTGTAAAGACCGTGACCTTGATCAAGAACATCTTTTACTTTGAACTCTGTAGCAGCAAGTAATAGCACTTCGTCCTCTGACGGGTAGAAGGAGTGCTTACGAATGTCTCTGGCTGAATGACAGTGAATGGTAAACATGGTTCGTGCATCTGTCTTGCCTAGGAATTCTTCTGATTGCAAGACCTCGATCGAAGTAGTACACGAAGAAAAGCCCCACCATACGATTGTTTCTCCTCTTTCAAACTGTTCGCTTAAGTCGAGTTTGACGCCTCGAAACACCGTCAGATGTGGAATCGGTGGAAGGCGAAATAGTGCTGTGAGAAAGAGCCGAAGGAACAAAAACCATGGCTTCAGTTTTGCCCGATTTGTTGACCGTAATGTAGCATTTAGAGCAAAGTAAAGACATTCATCAAGTGGCTCCCACCCCATCGAATAGAGCATGATGGAAGCCGATTCATCTGGCGTCAAATTATCAGCTGGCTTCTTGCATTTCTTTTTAGCTGCATATGAATAACTTTTAACTGCCGGCAACATTGGCACGAGCGGTTCAACTGCTTCTTCAAGTGAAACGAGTGGCATTTTCTCGTAACCACTAATAGGCATGAGGAAATCGGTCGGTTCCTGTGCAACGTCAGTCAAACGTAGAACACGTTGTGCGATTTTTTCATGTCCGCCACCTGTAGCCATATCGAGTATCTACGAATAACTTGGATATCAAATAGAAGAATGAGTATCTGAAATAGGTCATTTTAAAAAATTGTATAAGCTAAAGAACGATGTGGATCGTAGATGGAACAGGTCTAGTTCTTCGACAACCGGTACAGGTACCGGTCTGGGTGTGGATGTCAGTCAGTAGATTAAACAAACACCAACAGCCACACTCTCCTGAAGAAGTCGCTAACGACTACTTTGTCTCGCATCCCCCGTCTGATAACAAACTGACTGCGTGGTTGATATATACTAAAAACTATTGTGACTAGTACGCGGTTAGTCAGTATGTATGGTGAGTTTAAGTGGTTAAGCGGGAGAACCCTGAATCAGACCGACCTTTCTGTCCAGAGCTACGTTTAGTGATAGAGATAGGAAAAACATCGGACTTTCCAAACTGTTCTCGGATAGCACGCTATACCGCAAGATAGCCCAAAAAGTGGGATACTCTTCTTCTAATCTTTTTTTGCTGACTCTTTCATACAATACACTTTAGTGCGAACGTTTTTGTCTTCATGGAAACACTTTCATCGGTAGCATTAAGCTCTTAATGATCCCTTTGGCACATGTCTAGGTTCTCTAAAGACTTTTGTGGGCCCGCTTATGCATTCGTCCTTGTCCCAAAAGTATTTGCTGTTTTTATAATAGATCTTTTGATAGTCTGAAGGTCACCGAGGCTATCGTCAGACATGTATGCGTTCTTCGAGATTCTTTCGTTTTGCTAACACATTTCTCTGTTGCTGGGTAAAAATGTATTGGTGGTTAACTAGAAATCTTCGTGGTGACTTTTACATATCACCGGATGTTCGAAACTTTTCTAGGTACCTTAATAGATGAATGGGTGAAACGAAGTTTTTCCAAACTCTTTCGCATTATATGCAGCTCCAAAGTCTTCACCATCGACGAAGCAAATTCATTGATTATCCGAAGTTGCTTCTCGTCACGAACACATTTGATGAGTTGCTGGTAGGGTCCCTTGCTCTCTTCTTACATATTCATCTGTGCGTCTAAGGATATTGATGTAACTGTCAAGAATTCCAATGTAACGCGACACTGTTCACGAGCACTTTGTCCAATGAATGAGTAACCTGCAGATTTTTTATTTTCCTGCGGTACATATATTCGCAGTGTCTAACATTGCTCGGCGTAATTCAGACACATTAATCAATGAGCTGAGTGCTTCTACTGGACTATCCTATGAATCTCTATCTGAGTTTTAAAAATTTATTGCCATTTTCATAATTTTCTGTATTGCTTGAAACTTGCCGTCACTATTCTTTTATGTGGACGCTTGGCCACGGCTTTTATACCGTTATTGTCACTCATATCTATGAAAGCTTGGCTTTTTCGCTCCGACTCTCAACGATTCACATGCCACTTCAAGTTTTCAGCTCTCACTTGGACGAGTTTCTTTATTCTCCAACGCTTTTTTGAATCATTCTATGGATTTCTCTGTGACCTTGAGGTTCCCACCGATACTCTAACAAAGTGATGAAACGGTGAGAATTTCCCACTCTAGCTTCGAAGTAAGGGTATACAATCCAAAGGTTATCGGTTTGAGTTCTGCCCATTGTCAATCGGCACTTAATGCTTCACATTAATGCTAGTGATGGGAGTTGTCAGTCTAGCTCCGTAGCATCGGTGAGTGCAGCGAAGCTTTCTGCACTCACAATTACGAATTTTTCTATGGTCGAAAGTTTTTCGTCTTTACTGTCACCTATTACTCTCTAACTGAAAGTTTTTATCTTCATCTAGGCAGATTGGTTTGCAATCAGAAGCTTTTCTATTGTTACTCTTACTCACACCCAAAGCTTACTATTGTGTTCGTGTTCTTGTTATACGTAGTCACATTAAATTTGTAGTATCATCATATTGACTCTAGATTTTTATTTCTTTAATAAGTGAAATTCATGAGCAGAGTGGGAGAAAAAAAGAAATAGACTGCTCGCAGTGTTTTGGGACTAATTATATAGCATTCACAATAGTTTATTTTGTTTTTCGAATCATCCTAATAATTAACTCATCACAACAAATTAGTATAAACCAAAGCCTCCTGAATAGTTTGAATTTTGTGCTATTGTTAATCGGAAATATTTGCGATCGACACCATTTGCTTTTTTTCAAATGATTTGTTTCTTACTTGTGCAGCATGGCAACGCTTTCTGCTTCGTTTCTGTCTGCTTTGCCTCCTTTCTTTTTTCGTTTTTTTTAAACAACTTTCAAATAGGCACTCTACTGAGAAGGGTTGTACATGGCAACAGTAAAAAAATCACCGAAAGTATGGACGAAGAATGATAACAGAGAAGAAAAACAACTCATACTTGTTCAATGAAACCCATGTCAAATGAAGTAAACAGGTCTATATTCATTTCTATACAATGTGAGGTACATCTATATTCGATGGTACGATTACTGATGGTTAACAAACCACGAGTATTCTAAAAATGTTCTCGTATTTTAGTTCATGTTGAAATAAATAAAGCTTACACTATCAATGAGCACATGACTATGTTTCTTTCGGATGATACAAAGATTTGAACTTGCACTTCAGAAACATTAATATTCCCAAAGGAATACTTAAAACAAAAAATCGGTTTATTTTTTACTTAACTCTTATGAGAAGAAGCGAGCTTTTAGGATAATTTAATTTGGATATAAAAATTGAAATACTAGGTATACTTAGGGTATACCAAAAGTTCTGACCACGACGTTTAAAGGACCTTTTTGGATAATGTGGCCGATTCAAAAAATGAGAAATCAAATATACCATGTTGTAGAGCTTTTCAAGGCACATC